GCACCCGTTCATCAAGTTTAACCTAGATTTTCACCTGCGGACAACTCGCAGCTCTCCCAGCTTGATACTTGCAACTTGCACGCTGAGATTTTGTCGAGATGCTTAGACGTTGAGACCACCTTATCCCCCAAAGTGTCCGCTAAATTTAACTGAAAGCAATTAACGTGCACACACGAGTCACAACATTCGCTTAAGTTGGGTTAAGTAAAGTTATGAACACTTCAGAATCATATTGTTTAGCCATCACATTCACATACCGATATTATAATTACTAATATGTTAAGCGTTTTAGTAAAATCGCAATCAAACTATTGTTATAACGCTAAAGTGACCCGTAACCTTTTAATGCACTTTGGGTTGCAGTACTCTGCAGTGCAATGCACATCACATGTATTGGTAATTCGGAGTAAACTATTTATACTCGTGACGCCATTTGCTATTTTCGGCTTTTAGTGGCACGACGATACGTGCGGCTTACGAGCTTTCGACAATGCGCAAACATGGCCGTCAATTTTAATTAACGCTGACTGCTAAATTGAACCACTAAAGTTTTAATTGTCCATGCAATCAAAAATATCACGTTTTTATTTATAATCATTTTGATTTGATTTTATTTTCAGAAAATTTTATTTTATCGTTTTTGGTTAACCGCGACTGTTAATCTCAAGTTTTAGCAAACTTTCACGCCGATAACCGCACATGATTTACGGTATCATGAGAACTTTTACTGGTTTTATTATTATCGGTTTTCAGCAAGTTTCCGAATTGAATTTTCGAATAAAATTATAATTTAATTGTTTAAATTGTTGCAAAAACTAATTTTAAATATTTCGAATTAATTTCCGCTTTGTTTGTTTCACTCTAATGTAAATAAATGTTTGTTTAAACTTTTGCGAAACTTTGCACGTGTTTAGTCGAGTTTAAAATATGTAGTTAAATGCAATGCGGGTTGCAGCAACAAATTGTTTACACTCACGCGGAATTTTTTCGCTGCGTTGCCGCTGAAGTTGCAAACATATTTTTAATCACGTTTGCAGCTCTTTAACTTCCGCGTTTTCTGTTTTATTCGTATTATAACAAAATTTAACTTTTTTTTTTCTGGCCGAAAAAAAAATTATGACTGAAGTTTGCTTGCCCGCTGGGTATAGCTATATGCTGGAGATCATAAAACCACCCCTAATGCCACCCCTTGATTTACTCACGTTTACACTCGTTTTAGCTCACCTTTTCGTGTCTGGCCGCTGTGTGTTGTAATGATATGATTGTTGGTGGGTGGTTGTGGCTGTCGGAGGCGGTTTTTGAACTCCGACTCCGGAGGCGTCATGGGAATGCCCTCGCCGTGTAAATATATGCGATAAATTTCCACTTATCTCGCGCTCAGCAAGCTATTTGAATCTCAAAGCGTTGCGGTGGCGGCGGCGGTGGCGGCGGCGGTGGCGGCGTGCGCTTTAAAAACTCACATGAATAATTCGACGCGCAATAATTACCATATTCGCAATTTACAATTTCGCGATTTGCAAATTTCGTTTTTGTTCGTGCGCCGCGCGCGCGCGGATAACAAGCATTCGTATTGTTAAGTAGGTACCTACGTGTACAACTTTTAAGTACATAAAATGTATTATTTAAATATTTTAATTCGGGGAGAATTACTTAGTTTTAAAACGTAAATTTTAAGTAAAAAATTAGTGTTTGGGTTGTTTTGGATGCAAAAATTGTTTTTAAAGTGTTGTAAAAGCAAAGGAAATTTGTTTATATTTATTTTGTTTATAGTTTTGTTTATAGTGCAATTAATTACCTTTATTTTGACATATAAACAAATAAAATTTACCAATTAGTTTAAAAATTCCAGTTAGTTTAATTTTAATTTCATAATTTAATATTTTTGAAAATTTTGTTTTTATTTTACTATTTTAATAATAACTCCGCCATTTTTAAACATAAATTAGTGAAATTTTCACCACCAAAACTAGATAATATTTTCTACAAATGTGCAAAAGAATTTTTAAATTTTAATAACTCCACCTTGAGTAATCGTTCCTTGAAGTTGTGAGATATTTAAAAAAAATACCTTTTGAAATATAAAATATTTAAATTTGTACCACTAAAACTAAATAATATTCCCTGCAAATGTGTGAAAGAAGTTTTAAATTTAAATAATCCCCCGCTGAGTAATCGCTTCTTAAAGTTGCGCGCACTTCAAAAAATTTAACTTTTTGACACTTTTCTAGTTTTCGTCCATAAATCTTGCAACTTTTTGACCTCCAACTAAAAAACATGATGTTTCATAACAATATGTTACTTTAAAACTTTGCACAACTTGCCAGATAGTTTTGAATGCGCGCTTGTTCACTCTATTACAAACTTCTTCCACGAACGAGGGCATTGTCGTCGTCCTCATCCGAAAGTTGCACGAGGGTTGAAGGTTGAAATAAGTCATGAATGCAGCACATTCACAACTCAACACATTTATTCTCACCCAGCCCAAGACTCGCGTTCAAGTTTATTCCGAGTCGGCGAGATTTTTCAACCCTTGTGCTTATTCCCAGCAAGATTTGAGACATCCTCGTCGTTATTAATGCAATTCGTGCGTCGGCATTCAGCGCGCTTCATTTCCCATGCTGAGTGCGCCGCCATCTTGAATTTCCGCTGCACTTGTATCATGTGGGTCAAGCATACTACCACCCACACACATCTTCTTGATTTTAGACTAGTAGTAGTAATTCTTAAGCTGAAAACGAAGCGCAGTGCGAGAATTTTAACTTTTAACTTCTTTTCCACCCCTCTGCCTGCATAAGGGATTATCCTTTGGGGGGTGGCGTGAGAATACATTCATCAGCATCCGGTTTCGGGACGGATCGCTCGTCCATAAAATGTAGAATCGAAATGGTAGCGAGTTAAAAGCATTATTCCCTCGGTGGCGTTCGGTATTCGGAATGCTTCAACCCTCAGTCCTTTTTTTCTTCGTTTTCTTATCCTTGAGAAAACATGAAGGATCACTTTTATGTATTTTTTCTGCAACTGGTCAAAAATACTAACATTGGTGAGAAAATTCAATTTTTCCCTCTGGGAGAGGGGGAAAACAACCCTTAAATTTTATAATCGTAATTAAAATTTTATTCATTTTATAAATTCGTTATCAAAATGGAGGTGAAAAATAAAAAGTATACATAATTTTTTAAGGGTGTAATTAACCCCTTTAAAATATTTTTAATTATATCAATTTAATATGTGAATAATATTACGTTTGTGATTTGAGTGATTTTATTTAACCTTGTTTTTTTTTTCTCTCTGTTTTAATCTGATGTAAAACCCACCCTTAATTTTTTTACTGTGAATTGTATAATTTAATGCATTGGGGTTAAAACTAACAACGATAACGCGCACGCACTTTAAAAATTCCTTCAGTTTTTCAGATAACAAACAAAATAATAGAGAAAAAATAAATTTCCAAGGGTTTAACTTGGAGTTTTATAACCGGGGGAATCCCACAATACGCCGGATAATGGTGCATCGTTAACGTACGATTAAAACTGATCGAAATGCAATTACGACGCGGAATTTCATTGAGTGCTATTCATGCAACTCTCGTACAACGAAAAAACTAAATCACTTTTATGTGTTTTTATGTGCGTTTCAAGTATTAAACTTATAATGGCCGCGGACACTTCCATATTTTTTTTCTGGTCGTAGCCCCGTAGGCAACTTTTTCTACACGCGTGCATAAAATATATGTCAGTCATTGTTAAATAAAATCTCAGCGATTCGCGCGAAATGCGCGCTGACGCTTTCCCACCGTGTTGTGCCTTAAGGGAAAATAATAATCGTATTATATTTACGCGAACGTGAACGGCATTTGTGACGTTCGTATACAAACAAACATAGTGTGTGTACGCCGGTGTGCGGTGGCACACATTGCATCAGAGCTAGTCATGTAGTCGACTGATGGATTTGTTCAGTAGGTCTGATGTAGACAACCCACATTACACACATGCGGATGTGTGTAGGTAACACGGAACGCATGACAACTTGAGCGCGTCGTGTGGGTTGCATTCCCAATTGGCGTTACGCTACTTGGCGACACACAGCGCGACATTGATTTTCTACGAGTCAACGCGTAAATGTAATATTGGTTGCGGACTTATAGTAAAATCTTTGATTTTAAAGAAAAATGAATTTTTGGTAAATTTTTGTAATTTTATTATTTTGAGGGTTGTTTATGTGGCAGAAAAATATGAAACTTGCTCCGCAAAGTTTCTAAGGGTTGTGGAGGATAATTGGGGTTGGAAAATGGCTGCACCGCCTTCAATTCCAATTAGACTTTACTAGCAGTTGATATCAAGACGTTTCAACCCTTTATTTATTTTTCTAAATTTTGTCTAATAATTTTATTATTTTCAACCCTTATTTACTCCAACCCCCGCTCTAGAATCTCTTGAATTTTCCTCGCATTGATTTCTCTCCGTGTTGTGTTGTTGTCGTTGTTGTTGCCGCGTCAATTCCCACACATCTCAAGTTTCCTCTTCCAAGCCCGCTGCTGAAAATCTCACCGTATTCGAATTTCACCCTCTCTAACTTTTCTTCGATAACTTTAAAAATATTGTATGGACTTCCCGTGTTCTCATGCGAGTTGATTAATTTGTTCTTTATACCTACGCCGGATAAGTTTGATTTTCAAGCCTCAAAAACAACAAAAACACCGATTGTTGTTGTTCCACGCTTTAATCTTCGACGCACGAGCACTGTGCACACAAAGAGTTCACCCCGGGCGTTTCTTGTGTTTTCCACACACGCGGCGGCGGAACGCATTAATGGAAAATCGGAAACTCTACACTCTAAGAGGGTGAAACTCACGTACGTCACGCGCAGATAACCGAGTTGTATTTAACATGTCGCTAACGTTATTATAAACAATTATCCGCAAACAGATTTTAAAAATATTAATTATTTTATGAGATTTTTCAAAAATGTAAGTTTTTAATTGTGTGTATGTTTGGTTGCAGATCCGAACGGCAAGGTAGCCATCGGCATTCTCAACTGTCTGCTCGCGCGTCAGTTGTGCTTCGAAGACGCGTCATGTTCGGCCATTTTGGAGATTATACCGCGCGTCTGCGGACCGGAACTAGGTGAGTCGACAGACACAAATTAACACAGTTTGACAATTATTGACAATCAGCGTTGTAATTTACACTTTCGCGCTGTTTGCGCAAGTGGGAATCATTCAAATGAGCCAATTAAGCATTGCGGCATGGTCAAAGTTTTATCCTAACCTCAAACCACAAAACAAACGCGGCGAAACTTTGCGCGGACAAAAAAGTTTCTGTGGCGTTTCCGGTGAATTTCACTCGTTGTGTTGACTTTTCCGGTCTGCAAACGACAAGTTTAAATATGCTAATTGAACGTCAGTGGCACACACAGAAAAATATAAAATCATTTTAAGGTTAGATTAGGTTCGAATCGTGATCGCACGTCGTGATAATTTTCTAATTAAGCGCAGATTGAAAACCGGAAGTATTACATCTCGCGTGTTCCCACACGTTTTCTCCGCCATCTTGTTATCTGGATAAAATCAACCCTATTTTTAATGCTTGTTAATATTAAGGGTGCTAAACACATTTAACGTGTTGTGGTGGTCAGTGTCAGTGTCCATGATGAGTTGATTGTGTAATGCGTGACCTAGCTACCCCTTCGTGTTGGCTAGGGGTGTGGGAGTGTTGTGTCATCAATGAGCTTTCACCCCAATCAACACGACTGGTGGAATGTAAGTCCAAGTACAGAGAATTCCACTGACGTGATATGTCAGGAAATGTATCGGGGATGATTTTGAGTCTGAGGGGTGTTAAACAATATTACTGCAGGTAATTGAAGCTTCCATTTTGATATCACCGCTTGATAATTGCAAATAATAATAGTTTTGCTTAATTTTGTTGAATTTGTTTAAAATGTAATTATAAACGTGGATTGTAACCAATGAATGGAATATTGGTTTACGTTTGGGTTGTTTTGATGTGATGGAGGGTGGAATTTTCAGTTTTGTACGGCAATTTTCCGCGCAATGAGATTTTCCGCTGCGTCGAATTGATTTATCAAAATGAATTCTCCAGCGGACGCCGAGTAATAATGGCATTTTGATTAAAACCCGAACCCACCCCCTTTGCACCCGCCACGACGACGACGTTCATACCTCTGTCAGAGAGGAGAGGACGCAATCGATTCGACTGTCAAAGCTGTCGAAGGAGCACGGCCCAAAGAAGGTCTCTGCCGAAACGCGCGGGATGAAAATGAAAAGTTTAAACGGTTTTCCGCCGGCGACGAAATTAGAAATTAGTGGAGGCGTAATTTGTTTGAGTCTCCAATACCAATACAACCTAACCTCTCTTTTTGGGTGATGATGTTTTAGGTTATGTTGGGTTATAATTGTTTAATTTATTGCGTTGACGTAAATCACAACAGATAAATATCACATCTGATTGGTGATAGCAGTAAGGAATATAAATTAAACGATTTCGGACAATTCCCTTCCCGCCCCGCCGGTCTGATAGCCGCGACAAATCGTGACATGGCGGATGAAAACCGGAAAGTAAATTTGGATGTTTGGAATATGCGGAGGTTCGGTTTCCGATTGGGGTATGTCGATACGACGACGGCCGTACGATTTATTTGCGTTTCGATGGCAATATGCCGAAAAGCAGAAAACCGGAAATACGGACGTGTGCATACACACGTGACACATTCACACGGCGAATTCAACAATTTAAATTGCCATGTCACATTTCATAAGCAATTTTTACCACGCGGCAGGCAAAAAGTCAAAAACTGCAAAAATTAAGTTTTTGTTAGGTTAGGTGAGGTTAGGTTAGGTTATGAATAGGTTATGTATATGTATAGATATTGAATTAAAACTTCGCTTCAGATAAACTTTGATCAAAATTTTCATGATTCGCATAACTTTGCCTTTTGAGCTTGCGATAACATGAAACATTAAGAAAGCTTTTGACCTCGGGCGGTTTGCGATTGTCTTGCGCTGCGCCCGGGATTGAAAATTCACCCCTTTGCTGAATAGGGGCGCAAAACAATCGCGTCTTATACAAGCGCACGTAACGCACGTACTGCTATACTAGCATGAAAGGTCAAACGTTTTCTTACTTTACACCCTAAAGTTTCCTTTAAATATTGATAATTATTTTTTGACACTACAACATAACCTCAAATATAAACTATAAATATAGGAATTTTTTTTTGCATATACAGAAAACTTTTGTTTTTAAATTCCTAACATATTATTATGATTATTATGCCGGCCGGTGGTCAAAGCATGCTGATTGTTATCGCCCTGACCACCCCCGGACTGTTTCAAACCTTAACCACGACTTTGCTGGTAGTTTTACTTATACCATAAGAAGTAAGAGTGGTAGATTGTAAGAGTAAGAACCGAATTGTATGAATTTCTAAAGCGCACCTTCGGGGGCGGCTCGAAACACCCTTTAGCGAGTCTTATCGATTCGGAGACGGCGGGCGTGCATGCACACATGCATGACACGAGCACGTCGGTCGATAGGCTGAGGGTGAAGCGGGAAAAATGTGCTCCAACCCTTGAAATCTTACAAAACATAACCTAACTTTAAAATTTTAAAATTTTTAATTTATTTTTGTTGTAAAATAATTATTTATTAGTGTTAGGATGTAAATTATCACCTGACCTCTCATTTAGATCTAAATATGTCGATATAGTTGAATTCACCCCCTTGAGGGGTGTTTTATGCAAATTGTGCTGAGCATCCGGACATTATTGAAATAACGTGTCCTCGTCCACCCCATTGCATTGACATAATTACCACATCATCATCCCCCATCAACCCCAATGCATTCGGGCGAAATCAGTAAACACTCCTCAACCCCCTCTTCACATTCGGTAAGGTAGCGGTCTGCAGTGACATGCTGACGTGTGGACGTGCTGACGTTTGAGGTGCAAACTGCACGGCGCAACCCTTTCCGGCCAAACCACCCCTTATGATGGTGGTGGTAAGTTCACATGTGAGCAATATCACCATCGATCAGAGGGACACGCCGGACGGGACGACAATCGATTCGGTCAACTTTCCGGCCTCTCGTCGACGTGAAAATGGCGTCGCCGGTGCGACGTGCGAGGAATGACCTAAATCAATATGATTTTCTCGAACGCACCCCTTCGATGTGTCCGTCCACCACCGGAAGGACTAAACAGTAAAACGCTGAAAATAGACTACACGTGGTAAAAACGGCATGCATGTGACGTAAATCACACGGTTTTAAAGCTTTTTTACATAAACTACCCTTAATGCTTGTAATTTCAACCCTTAGTCATTTAAATGTGTTAAATCTCTGCCTGAAAGCAATGAAAGCACATAATCCACTCATTTTTCTACCACCACGCGCCCCGGTGAGGTAAAAAATACTCAGGGGTGGAAATTGTCCGCGATAATGAAGCACCCTAACGAGGATTGATGGATTGACGGAATGACTCGACTCGATTCCGGTCGATTCGCGCAATCCACTTCATTTTTCCACGCGCGCGCCCGCTAACAAGACAAGACAAGAAATTTCATTTCGAGCCTTCAATTCCACTACCAACACCACCACCACCACCGCCACGAACTTCACCACCTAAGAGGGTAGCTATCGAAAGTTTGATAGTGGTGGATCGGGGTGGTGCCGCGGGCAATCGAGCGCCGTGCGCAACGGAAACACGCGTGTAACATCCCTAAGCGTTCAATTTCATGAAAAGCCGTTTAATATTTTACCCTCGGAGAGAACGACTCCGAGGGTGAGATGAACGCTGGGGAATTAACGAGGCGAAACATGTCTTCATCAATTTTTACTCAGCGGATAGTTTAAAATGACTTTAAGTTACGTGTTATCAAGTTATTTATTTAATGGTAAAAACACACAGGTTAATAACTTGATAAAACGTGTTTTATTTTTATTTTTTTATTTTATTTTTTACTTCTTGTGACTGCCTGGCACGTTTTTTTTCGGCGAAAATAGCAAAGTGGTGCGCAAATGCAAATAAACTACCTTTTTGAGTGGCAAAGTGATGGAGTGGGTGGAATTTTTTCGGTCGGCGAGAAAAGCAGTTTTCGTCTTTTCGTCTTCTATCATAATCATGTTTTCGCGCCGCGCGCGCGCGTCTTTATCATCGTGTTCATCATTTGCGCTGCTTTTAACGCCGTCCGCGTGTAAGTGGAGGTAATATTTACATTTTGTACTTTGACTTGATGCGAATCGTTTCTCATCAGTTTTCATCAGCTTTCTGCGCGCGGCGAAATTTATCGTTTTGCATTGCTTTACGTCGCACTTCGCATCGTTCTTCATTGATCATCGCTTAACATCCCTTAACTTCGTTTTACTTCTCGTCGTCGCACTTCGTTTGATTTCTGATTTGGCACGTTTTACATCAAACGGATGCAAATAAAAATTTATTTCGCAATCAATCTAGGTTAGTGTCGACGTCTAGGGGTGGATAAATAAGGGTTAGACGTTAGACATTTTAAATTAACTTTTACATCAAGTAAAATTTGAAATATTGGAATATTTTTGTGAAAGTTTTAATTTTTGAGGAATAAAGTAGTTTTTATTTAGTTTTAAACTGCAGTTGATTGTTAGGGGTTGTTTGGGGTTTTATTACGCTATTGTGACCTTAGAAACTTGCGAAGAATGCGAAAAAACTTGCGGTGTTACCATGACCTACAAGGGTGAATTCACTGCGATTATTTAAACCGGAAGAAAGTTAAAATAAAGATTTTTTATTTTTTAAATAAAAATTAATAAGATTTAAACAGATAGACGCGTCTTTTGTCCACCAGTCGTATTTCCTATTTGCACCTTCAATAAACGACCCCCTGGCGACGCTGAGACGCAGATGAGCATTGAGTGCAAGCTGCAGGGTGCAAAGTGCGCGAAGGTAAAAGTGGGGCAACATTCCCACGTACACACGAAAACCGGAAAACCGGAAAACAAGACACCTACCGCTCGACACCACCCGGGCAAACAAACAGACGAGCAAACAAACAAGATTCGAGGACGCGAAGAAAATGGGAAAACACAGAGCGCAGAAAAAAAATTAAGCGATTTTTTTTTATTGAGCCGG